GCTGACTTTAAAAAGAAAAAAGAGATTATGCTGGGTGGCCTGGGTCTAATCAGGTGAGCTCTTCTTTCAAAAAGCCTAGGGATCAGAGACTGAAGTTAGAAAAATACTGCTGGTCTTGAAGAAGCAAAAACCCAGATTATGAGCTCTGCCTCTAGGAGCCATGAGCCTCAGTTATACAACTGCAAGGAAATGAATTGTGCCTACAACTGGACCGCTTGAAAGAGGACACCAATCCACAGATGAAACCTCAACTCTGACTGCAGGTTGTCAGATCCTAAGCAGAGAACCCAGCCAAGTTTTGCTTGAACTCCTGACCCACAGAAACTGTATCGTAAATGGATGCTAAGCGGCTAAATATGTAATTGGTTAAATGTCATACAAAATATAAACCTGTATGCTAAAAAGGGACATTTTACTCTAAGGAAATAATACCTCAATAAAGGGGACCGAAAAAAAATGTGCAAGTAGAAATGGAAACCTTTATAGTGAGGTTACAAGATAAATTTGAAGAAATCACCCAGAAAATGGAGCCAAAAAGACACTAGTGAAAAAAGACAGAAAGGATTTAAAATGTGAAATGCCCAGTCCATGAGGGTTAATGTCAAAATAAAGTCAATTTCTGAAAACAGAAAAGGAAATCATGAAACAACTCAAGAAAAATGTCAGAACACCAGAACCAAGTTTTCAGTTTTAAAGGTCTTAGCAAGTGCTCATCAGGACAAAAAACATAGGTAAACGAAAAGATCCTATACGTCTTCAAACAGTTAAATTAACAAGAATCAAGAATAAAAATTGCTTCAGACTTTTAACAACAATCCTAGAAACTAGAAAATAACGAAGGAATAAAGAAATGTTAAAGAAAAAATTTCAAGCATAGAATTCTCTAAATAGGAAAGCTATTGGATTAAGTATGACATTAGGAAAAGCTTTTCACATGTTCATCATACCTCAAAATTTACCACTGATGCATATTTTCCCAACAATTCTGTAAGAGGATGTGCTTTACCAAAAAGGAATAAACCAAGAAAGAAAATTATATAGGGTATAAGAAATAAGGATTCCAATGCAAGGGAGAGTTGAGGGAATACCCAAGGTGACAGCTGAATGGTAAGCCAAAAGGACAGCACTCCGCTGGAGCAGAACAGAGCACTCAGGAGGGGCTTCTTCGGGAACACCAACTATGCCTGGTGCAGCTGAACATACCAAGAGGAGAGGTGAGTGCCTGGTGCACAGCTGAGGTGGGATTAGTTATAAGTACGCTGAAAGCATCTTTATTAACGGAAAGCAAAAATCATATGGGTAAAGAAATATTAGAATATATGGGAAGGATCAAATAGGAATATAATTTAAAGTCATAATAATGTAAAACCTGAATAGTGCTCTAACCAGTATCACAGTTTGTTTTGGTGGAACGGGTAGTGAAAGTTAACGACTCACCTTCCAAGTGGGAAGTTACTAGATGATGCCTACACATGACCAAATCAGAAATAAACATGTCATTTCAAGATATGGAGGTAAATATCAAAATAATTAAGAGCAAAAAAGTGGTTCCTCTTAGATAAAGGAAGATGAAGAATGCAAAGGTCTTATTTTTCACTATGAGTTTTGTAGAAATCTGGCTCTTTAAATGACATGCATGAGTAACTTTGAAAGACAAAGGCTATACGGATCCTCACATTATCTTTTTCTACTCCCCCATACCACATAAGCACTTTGTACTTTCAGAAGGAAAAAGGGTTAAAAAGGTTTATTACATCTCAAAGAATTATTTCATTTAAGTTGCTTTTGTTTACCTTAAAAATGAACTCTTGCTTTAATAACTTGGAATCATTAAGTTTTTCTCAAAACAACAGCAGAATATTGATCAATTCACTTTCTTCTTTGAAGTTGCTGAGCCCATGGAACAGAGCCGCAAGTTAGCAAGTGCTTTCCATTGCTTTCGAGCACCATTGGCTTCTCAGGTACCTGAGCACTTGTCTTTAAGAGGCCAAGGCAGAAAAAGATATCATAGTGTCACCACCACCAATTGGGAAGGCCCTTGTCAAAATCACCTTAGTATCTCTCCTTTTATTCTTTTGAAAAAACTGATCTTCCCCTGCCATCAAGTAAGGATCACGCTCTGGCTAAAATGGCCCCTCTAACCAGCTCTAACTCAGAGACTTTACAGCATTTGTTCTGAGTTAAAGGACCATGTCTCTCCTCACAAAATATAACATTAAAAACAAAATCAAGTAGAATCATGTTGTTAAATAATTTTACATAAAAGTGTAAATTATTTTCATTAAATGCATTGTCAGAACCAACTTGTCAATGACTCCTTGATTATATGAGAATACTGATGGCAGGAAAACTAGTGTTTTCCAATTGCAGAGAACAAGGACAATGCCATATTGTTTCTGAAAAGTTGATCTTTTACTTTTTATTCTGAGACTGTCCTTACTTTTTTGTTGTTAAAATGTAATTTCTGGCACATGACACAGAAAACTGTTTTTAAGTATCCACCTAAACTTAAAACCAGATGTATAACCAGATATTACACTTCTAGGTATATGTCCAGCTACAGTAAGTACTGTGTGCATGTCCATCAAAAGACATGTATGAAAATGTTCATGGTAAAATAAGAATTTTTTCTTTTTTTTTAATAAAGTTCTGCGGGGCATGGTAGCTCACGCCTGTAATGCCAGCACTTTGGGAGGCCATGGCAGGTGGATCACTGGTCAGGAGTTCAAGGCCAGCCTGGCCAAGATGGTGAAATCCTGTTTCTACTAAAAAAAAAACAAAAAAAACCCAAAAAAACTAGCCAGGCATGGTGGCAGGCGCCTGTAATCCCAGCTATTTGGAGGCTGAGGCAGAGAACTGCTTGAACCCAGGAGGTAGAGGTGGCAGTGAGCCAAGATCACACCACTTCAATCCAGCCTGGGTAACAGAGTGAGTCTCTGTCTCAAAAGAAAAAAAAAAGAAAATTCATCTTGAATTATAACGTCCATAAACTGCAAACTATCCAAATAGCTATCAGTCCTATAATGAGATTGTAATATATTCATGTAATGGGAAAGAAGACAATAATGAAAAAAGAATGAACAATGAACAGAGAAAAAAATCCAACAACATGAATGAATCACACAGATACACTGTTGAGCAAAGAGGGCTGACTCAAGAATACCTCCTATATGATTTCTCTTATAACATGTTCAAAAACAGGCACAATTAATGAAAAGTGACCACAGTTAGAATATCAGCAGGTAGTCGGATCTGACTGAGAGGAGAAAGGGAGAAGCCTTCTAGAGTAATAAAATTATTCTATATCTTGATATGGGTAGTGGTTACATGGGTATGAATATTTGAAAAAAATCAAATTGTCTATTTAGATATACATTTGGCTATTCAGATATACATTTCACCATATATAAATTATACCTAAATAAAGAAATTTAAGAAAATTATGAGACAATGGGAAAATTTTTCAAACACTGTAATTTATTTTATGAAATGCCAGTGACACCAGATAACAGGAATTGTTATTTTAATATCTGTACTTACAAAATTACAAGTTGCAACTCTATATTAGTATCCCAAATAATTTTTTCCCAACTTTGTATTTTAAAAATGGATAAATTGAAACCTACACAAAATTGAAACACTAGTACAATCAACAACCATATGTCCTTCATCTAGATTCACCAATTGTTAACATTTTGCTACAGTCACTTCCTCTCTCTCTCTCTCTCTCTCTCAGTTTTGGCTGAACTGTTTGAAAATAAGTTGCAGACATCATGACACTTCATCCTTAAAGGATATTATTCTACAGAACCAAAGTATCATTGGTTATGACTGGTTATCATTGTATCATTGGTTATCAATGTATCATTGTTAAATTGGTTAAACCAAATGTATCACTGATATAATATTATTTAGCATATGGTCCATGTTCAAATTTCCCCAGTTGTTCCAGTAATATTCTTTACAGATTCCTCCCATCCCCCATCCAGAAAACTATCCCAGACTCATGCATTGCATTTGGTTGTCCTATTTCTTTTTCTTTTTTTCCTTTGAGAGAGAGTCCCTCTATGTTACCCAGGATGGAGTGCAATGGCATGATCTCAGCTAATTGCAACCTCCGCCTCCCAGGTTCAAGCAATTCTGCCTCAGCCTCCCGAGTATCTCAGTCTCCCGAGTATCTGGGATTACAGGCGCCTGCCAACACATCTGGCAGACTTTTTTTTTTTTTTTTTTCATTTTTAGTAGAGATGGGGTTTCACCATGTTGGCCAGGCTGGTCTCAAACTCCTGACCTCAGGTAATCCACCCACCTTGGCCTCCTGGGGACCTCAGGTAATCCACCCACCTTGGCCTCCTGGGATTACAGGTGTGAGCCACCACATCTGGCATGGTTGTCCTATTTCTTGAGTCTTTTTCTGTCTGATATACCATGCATCACATGGTATTAATTTTTTTAAATTTATTTTTGGCTTTTCATGACATTAACAATTCTCATCCAATATAGGTCTTTTTTTTTTTTTTTTTTTTGAGGTACAGTCTTGTTCTGTTGCCCAGGCTGGAGTGCAGTGGCACAATCTAGGCTCACTGCAACCTCTGCCTCCAGGGTTCAAGCAATTCTCCTGCCCTCAGCCTCCCGAGTAGCTGGGATAACAGGTATGTGCCACCACACCCAGCTAATTTTTGTATTTTTAGTAGAGATGGTTTTCGCCATGTTGGCCAGGCTGGTCTCGAACTCCTGACCTCAGCTGATTCACCTGCCTCGGCCTCCCAAAGTATAAGCCACTGCTCCTGGTCCCAATACAGGTTTTCAATTTTCCTGTACATGAAACCCAAAACTCTCCCAGTGATTTTTATTTACTTAGTGTCTTCTGCAACTTTTATCACAGCATTGGTACCCAAATACCTTTATCCTGACAAGTCTGGATGAAGCTATTTATCAAATACAGACACAGGACAGCTCAATGTTTAAACAAAGCTTAAGATTATTCTGCTTTAACTCACCGCTGAGTCTGAGCAGGCCATGGGGTCTGGTTTGGCGTGGGTACCGAATTCGTGGGACTCACTAGCATGGCACTATAGATATTGGAAGCAACCACAAGTATGCAGAGAAGAATGGGCCCGATGATTGCACCTTCCAGGCCTAGGTAGTATGCTCCGCCAGCCACTGCCAAGCCTGTCAGGTAAGGATGGCCACCTCTGGAATAAAGAGCATACCAGTTCGTTCACAACCTTTAACACACAAAAACTGGAATAAATCTGAAATACATTTCTAATACAATGTTCATTCTTTAATACACTATGTTTTTAAGTATATTATCAGCTTTTTTTAGATCTTTCTTTAGATCACCTCGATGCATATAATTGAACATTACAATAATATTGAGACGCAATAATTTTTTTCCTATGGGTGACTAGCGCCTCTGTTTATAGCTCCAGGAATGAAAGAATAAAGTCAGCAATGTTAACAGCTATTTTATACCCATTACAGGTGCCTGCCTATGGTGGGTTAATGTTGGCTCAGGACTGGTTAGGAGTCACCTGTTAAGTATACCTCCAACAAAGATAATTAAGTGAGCACAATTTAGCATGTAATTCAGTTAATTATGCTTTTATAAGACAACAACAACAGTAGCATCCCTGTTACTCATAGGTCAGGCTTTGGCAACCTCCTAAAATATAATTTTTAACACAGGTAATGATAAAAGGCCTCCTGAGGAAAATCTCTGTCATAAAGCCCAAGATTTCTATTTCACAGGAGAATCAAAAATGCCCTCCAGCTTATTACAGTATCACTTATGTAAGTGGAATGAAATAAAATAGAACACAGCAGCATAGCACACTGATAATGAAAAGACCACTGACATCAGAAGGACTGAGAAATAAGTCACATACTGTTTGTTTCTAGTTTTAAACATGAGATGAGAACAATTCAAGTGAGGGGCAAATAACTAAATAACTTGGAAGGATGTTCTACATTACAGTTAAAACAAAGTAAGACTTGTGGAGAACCAGTCTTCAAGGAACCAATATGCTATATTGATAATGCGTTTGTCTTTCTCATTCCAAAAAAATGATTAGGGCAATATTCCGTGTTTTCTAAGTAAACTTCTTCCCTAAACAACACATTCAAGGACATTATCAAACATGCTTAAAGCTTTTTTTTCACTCTGTCACCCAGGCTGGAGTGCAGTGCCACAATCATGGCTTTCTACAGTCTCGACCTTCTGGGCTCAAGTGACCTTCCTATGTCACCCTCCTGAGTAGCTGGGACCACAGGCATGTGCCACCACGCCAACCTACTTTTCGTATTTTTGTGGAGATGGGGTTTCACCATGTTTCCCAGGCTGGTATTGAGTTCCTGGGCTCAAGTGATCCAACTGCCTTGGCCTCTCAAAGTGGTAGGATTACAGGCTTGAGCCACCATGCTCAGCTTTAAGGCTTAAAAAAAAAAGAAAAAAGAAAAACACGTGTGCGAGCTTATGAATAAAAGTGTACCCTATTAAAAACTAAAACAATTTATGTCAAACCTTTCATTTTCCAATGACAATGTTTAAAGACAGTATTTTAGGTCGGGCATAGTGACTCACGCCTGTAATCCCAGCACTTTGGGAGGCCAAGGCAGGCAGCTGAGGTCAGGAGTTCAAGAGCAGCCTGGCAAACATGGTGAAACCTGGTCTCTACTAAAAATACGGAAATTATCTGGGTGTGGTGGTGCACCCCTGTAATCCCAGCTACTCAGAAAGCTGAGGCAGGAGAACAGCTTGAGCCTGGGAGGTGGAGGTTGCAGTGAGCCAAGATTGAGCCACTGTACTCCAGCCTGGGCGATAGAGTGAGACTTTGTCTCCAAAAAAAAAAAAAAAACAAGAGTATTTTATTTTTAAGATAAAATCACATATAAATCTTTAACTCCAGCTATAAACCTTAATATAAAATTTATAGCAAATTTTAAAGAAATTAAAGTACTTAAGTATAAATCATACTTATTCCTGCTCAAATGGCAAGTGTTAACACACTAGTTAACCACACTATGATGTTCAGCTTTTTAATATTCTCTCTCAAGTTTTATACATAAAAGTTCCCCTAAGTCTGGCTTATGGAGTTGCTTATTTCTTTTTGCTCTGGAATTCTGGGGCTTCAGCACTGTTCAATATCAGTTATCATTTAACTTTCAGCCTAGATTTTCATAAGCAATGTGAATCTGAATATATGACTAACTGAGAACTGGCTTGATTTACTTAATGTAATTTCTAAAAGAGACATCAAAACCTATAGAAACAGGCATTTATTTATTGTATTATATGGCTAAAGTATTGATTCTGACTTAGATTTAACCTGTATTTATCATAAAACCATTCTAATTCCATCTTTAGACAGCTCTGCTTGCCAGAAATTTACTTGCTGAGATTTGGTTTCACATGGAAATCCTCAGACATACAATCTAACATTTTCTCCAAAACCAAAGAAGTAATAAAAATAACAATTAACTCTTCATTGTACTTGAAATATTTGATGTATATCGGATCATAATTTTCTAGGTTAAATGTCACTAAATCAAGAGAAAATTATTCACAATTTGGTTTTAACTCAGGACATCATATATTAATATTATAAATAAATATGTAAATAAGAAAATATTGGCTGGGCATGGTGGTCCATTCCTGTAATACTAGTGCCTTTGCAAGTTCAAGGCAGGAGGACTGCTTGAGCCCAGGAGTTCAAGGCTGCAGTGAGATATGACTGCACCTGCATTCACGTCTGGGTGACAGAGATATTATCTCAAAAAAACAAAGAAAAAAAGTTGCTCTGTAACTTTGGAGCAACAATAACAACAACAACAACAAACCCCAAAATATCCTGCCTTGTCAAAAATATTATTTTAAATTAAAATTTCATTATATCAGTGGGAACACAAAAGATTATTTCACTGAAAACTACTACTACCAGTTCTTTTGTACAACCCCAGGGGAAAAAAATCCTGCTTTAAAAAAAAAAAAACAAAACAAAACCAAAAACCAGAAATGCCTAGATGATTCACTAACAACTTAAGAAATTCTGTGGATTACATACCCTGATATGTCAGAGTAGATTGCAGTATCTACAAAGTATGTTGGCAAGAGATGAAAAATCAACAGTAAAACGGCCTTGCATCCTAACCCTTGTGTCAGCCACAGGTCTAGAACTGCAGGTACTGCTGCCCAATATGTCCCCAGGAACGGCACTGCTCCAAGGATTGCTGCTAACGCTGAAAAAAGAGTAAAAGAAAAGCAACTTACCATCATCAGCAAAACGCCAACAAGCAATAGAACCTAAGCAGTGGCTCCTCCTCCTTAACAATTTCCAACAAAACAAGTTAAATACTCACAAATCAAATATTAGGGAAATGACATACCCTATCTAACTGAATTTTCTAGCTAAATAAAGGCTCAATATCTTAAAACGTGATACTAAAAACCTTTCTAAGTATGTGTTTTATTTATGGATCTATTCTTAAGCAGTAAAATTTCAGGGTTCTGCAGTTGTTACTCTCAATCAGTAGTTAATACACAGTCCTATAAATACAGCTACAGAACATGTGTCAAAACTTGTACTGATTCCAAAGCCCAATCAGAAATTAGTTTCTAAACCTCAGCATATTCTTTACTTTGCTTCTTTCTAATAAAAATAAACAGAAAAAAATCCTGAGTTGAAGGACCCTGCTTCAAGGTCATTCCCTTCCAGAGCAGTATGTTCAAGCGATCTTCCTCCATCTGGCTTCTCTCCAGGTTAAGAGTAAAACAGATGTAGCATCTAGTTCTGGTCCTACCAGAAGCCAGGTACGTGACCTTGGAAAACTGGTCTCACATCTATACGGTAAGACTACTACCTACTCTGCGCGCCTCAAAGGGTGCTTGCATGCCAGAGGGTAGGTTAGTGAAGATCACAGTAGGGAAGAACGTGAATGAACTTGAAAATGCAGAAGGAAGGAAGCACAGACAAATGGGGGAAGGGCAGCTGGTGGTAGAGGCAAATGTGAAAGGCAGAGATATTTAGGAAAACAAGCAGCCATAGAAATAAAGGAAGAAAAAGTGGAAGAACCATCATAACAGATCTTAATAGGTATGGAGACAGCTTATGTGCCCTCAAAAGCATTCATCTTGCCCTGGGATGTTATCCCTCATGGACAAAGCTATTTGACAACGCATTGCTCCCTGCCAGTCAGTTCAATTCAAACATTATTTAAAGCCGATTATGTGCTAGGTGTTATGCTAAATGCTAGAACATTTGTTCATTTAACAAATATATTTTTTTAATTTAAAATTTTTTTTTTATTTTTCAAAAAGATGGGGTTTCACCATGTTGGTTAGGCTGGTCTTGAACTCCCAACCTCAGGTGATCTGCCTGCCTTGGCCTCCAAAGTGCTTGGATTACAGGCGTGAGCCACCACACCTGGCTCATTTAACAAATATTTAAGGCAACTGATATGGTTTGGATCTGGGACCCTACCAAAATCTCATGTCAAACTGTAACCCCCAGTATTGGAGGTGGAACCTGATGGGAGATGATTGGATCATGGGGATGGATTTCACCCCTGGGTAGTGTTCTCACGATGGTGAGTGAGTTATCGTGAGATCTGGTTGTTTAAAACTGTGTATTCACCTCTCCCCCTCTTCCTCCTGCTCTAGTCATGTAAGACATGCCTGCTTCACCTTCACCTTCCACCGTGATTATAAGTTTCCTGAGGCCTCCCCAAAAGCAGGAGCCACTATGCTTCCTGTACAGCCTGCAGAACAGTAAGCTAATTAAACCTCTTTTCTTTATAAATTACCCAATCTCAAGTATTTCTTTATAACAATGAGAGAACAGGCTAATATAGCAATGTTTTCTGTGCGCTGGGTATGGTTCCAGCTGCTGGGGATACAGCAATAAACAAATACATTACAAATCATATTCTGCTCCTAATATGGACTAGACTGGATCTCAAGCCACAAAATTTAGTTTTTTAAACTTGAGGAAATAGACGTTTCCTAACTGGTAAAATGGCTTAACTTTCCTTAAATAGAGAACACTGGAAGATATAACATGGTTGTTACCTGACGGTATGAAGACAATATTGATGCCAAATATAGTATGAGTCAGCCAGGTGTACAATCCATAGAAGCCAGCCATTTTGAGGGAAGCATCAAACACCCCTCTGGAATGCCCAAAGATAAAAGCAAAGAGTAAATAAACACAGTGTCATATTGTGATTTAGAAAAATCACGTGGCCACTTGATTCCAAATCCAGTAACAGCTTTCTTTAGTTTTCTACTGAACTGAGAATGCTGTTCTCATTTTATTTCAAAAAAACATAAAGACCTTACTTTAAATATATTTACTTATTCTTTATATAATATGAAATGGTTTATTTTGAAATGTTTACTAAGCTATTCTTTATATTTCTGATGAAAAAAATAACTGAACTGAAATACCTTAAAATACCATATTCACTGAAATAATTCATCAACTTTTCACTCTTTGTGAAAAGTTATTTTCAGTTATTTCACCACCAAAGCAAATGGAAAGAAAATTAAGTATGAATAACATGTTTCCAAGGATACAGTTAAACTCTAAGAAACCCAGGTGGTGGCCAGCCCTCCCTTTTTGGAAAGAGCCAATAAGGGACAGCGTAACTTGTATTTCACCAACCTTTCTTCGCTTTAACAAAATCTTCCTATGTTTCTTAAACTATGCAACTAGGCCTACAATGTAACATCTCTTAAAAATGCTATCAAAGAATGATCATTGGGGGAGAATTTATGGAAAAAAAAATTACTAACTCCAAAGCAAAAGCAGAGAGGAAAATACAAGAGAGATAAAAACAGACACATATATTTGGTGACTAATAAAGGAATTCCATACATGAAAATCTGCAATGTCAGGCGCTCTGTGTTTTTCAGTTGGAAGATGAGTAAGGCAGCACTAGTAAGGAGGAGAAATAAGGAACTCTTCAGGGAGCACACAAAAATGGCAATCCTTAAGTAATCTCAAGGCAGCACAAAATTGTAAAAACCTGGACTCTATGGGACGGTGCAGAGGGGTGCAGGGAAAGCACCCTCATATGTTCACTACATAGGAAGGAAAGAAGAGACTTTAGCGGCAATGGTGACCTTGTACATGCAAAAGGAAACACCAAGCTTTACTAAAGCATCCCAAGACGTATAGTGTTAAGAGCAAAGCCAAACGCTGTAATCTAGTGATTCAGTTGTTCAGCAGCGTTCTGGGACATGGATCCACGGACCCAATTCTAAAACCTGCTTTGTCATCCTGACAAGTAGCTTTCGCTAGACAATGTCTTAAAGGTGCCATGACTCTGCAACAAGAACCCAGAATAAAGTAGGATCAAAAATACCCAAAGAAAGGGAAAGACTCCAAAGAAAATACAAAGGATCCGCTCAACGACTAAACAGAGAGGACAGAGAAAAAAGAAAATGACAGAGCTTCAGGTCTTAAACCTGAAGGAGAAAGAATGGCATTGTCTCAAAGAAATGGAGAAGGCCAGAATGGAAGAGGCATGAAAGAAATGGGGAGTTTGTTTAGTTTGGGCAACAGGAACTCGAAAAGGAGGATGAAAATACCCTAGAAGTAGCTGAAATAAGAGACAACGCTTAACAGAGAATTCAGAACAAGACAATTGAGATGCACTAGAATAATCATAGAAGAGCAAAAAACATCTTAAAGGGGCAAGTGGAGAGAAAATAGGACAACAGGTTGTGTTTTCATAAGGGACCTAAAGACAAAGAAATACCAGCCAGAGAGGTAACGAAATCATTTTGGTAGTAGAAGGAAAATCACTAGAGTGCAGTATTCCCAGAGACTAAGGTGAAGGTAGGTTTTGAGGGGGAGGAAATAATAACATCAGTGACCACAGAGAAAAAGTAAGGAAAAAAGTATCAAATTTGCCTACAACTAGGGAGGTCAATGAGGAAAACATATGATGTGATTTTTTTCCTTAACCTTGTGTTACTAAAAAATTTTTAAGTCAAAAATAAGTTGACACCAAAGGTGCAACAGAATATCACAACTCAATCACCCCTGTGAGTGGCAACCAAACAAGGCTAATCCAGTAAGGACCACATGTAGAAAACAGCACAGTCTTCTTCCACCGCTGAGAATATTGGTTGCTGGTAACATTCTCAAGACAACTTTTAAATGCACTATGTATTGCTTGCAGTTACCAAACATATTCATGTAACCCAGTGAGGGATGAAGACAATATATTCACCTCTACCTCACTACTCATGATCTGGCACACAAGTTTTATAAATAAAACAGCAGAGAAAAATTCTCTTACAATTTACAAGAAGGCAGAATTTTTTAACTCCCTCAAATTCCTAGCAACTTCTTCTTGTATCAGCTTTATTAAACAATGATTTACAAATAAAACTCACCAATTTAAGCGTTCAATTCAGTGATTTGGATAAACGTGTAAGTTCTATGACCATCATTATAATCAAGATGTAGAACATTTGTATCACCTCAAAAAGTTCCTTCATCCCCCTCCTATAGTCAAACCCTCCCTAAACTCTGGCCTCTGATGGCCACTAGATATGCTGTCACTATAATTCTGCCTTTTCTAGAATTTCATGTAAACAACATCATAAATTATATAGCTTTGTATTAAACTGTGGTAAAATACCCATGGCACAATATTTACCATCTGAACCATTTTGAGTGTGCAGTTCAGTAGTGTTGAGTACATTCACGTTGTCATGTAGCCTTTGGTGTTTCTTTCACCTAGCATAATGCTTTTGAGCTTCACCACATTGCTGAATGTATTAGTTTGTTCCTTTTAATTACTGAGTAGTATTCCATTATGTAGATCTACCACAATTTGTTTATCCATTCACCAGATGATATGCATTTGAGGTGTTTCCAGTTTGGGGGTATTAAAAATAATGCTGCTATGAACATTTGTGTACAAGTATTTGTAGATACATGCTTTCATTTATCATCTGTAAATACCTAGAAGTGGACATACTGGGTCATACGATATCTATTTAGCTTTATAACTAATACTAGCTTTAATCGCTCAATTCAGAAAAAATTAATAGTACATGGATACCAAACCAGAAGCCACTACCTCCTACATCACAGCACATCTCCTCAAGGTATAAGGTTAAACCTCACAGTACTATATGAGTGGATACTGGCAGGAAGAGCAATTCAGCTCATGAAGAGCTAAATAATAATGCATCTGAAGCTCCTAGTAACTGACCTAGTACACAGTAGATGCTCAATAAACAGTGGCTATTAGCAGAAAATATGCTGTGTGTGCACAAGAAAATACTACTCAGCCACCAAAAAGAAGGAAATCCTGTCATTTGTGATAACATGGATGATTCTTGAGGACTTTCTGCTAAGTTATATAAGCCAGGCACAGCACAGATAGACAAATACTGCATGATCTGACTTGTAAGTAGAATGTACGAGTTGAACTCATAGAAGTAGATAGCAGGATGGTGGTTGCCAGGGGCTGGAGAGATGGTCAAACGGTACAAAGTTTCAGTTAGGGTAAGTTCAGGAGAGCTACTGTACAGCATAGTGACTATAGTTAATAATAATGTATTGTATACTTGAAAACTGGTAAGATTACATCTTACATGTTGTCACAACAAAAATGGTATATGAAGTAATGAATATATTAATTAGCTTGATTTAACCATTTCACAATGTAACATTATATTACAAACTATAAATATATAAAATTTTTACTTGTTGCCTAGCTGGTCACGGTAGCTCATACTTATAATCCTAAACTGTGAGAGGCCGAGGCGGGTGGATCGCTTGAGAGCAGGAGTTCAAGACCAGCCTGGGCAACAGGTGAAACCCTGTCTCTACTATAATTACAAAAACTTAGCCAGGCATAGTATGTGCCATTAGTTATATGCCAGATGAAATTTTATTTGACTTTGGGAGTAAATTATTACTAGCAATCTCTGAATTTTAGGTTCCAAAGAACCATGGAGATGAGTGATAATTATATGCCCAGTATTATAGGTTATTTAACTTTACAATTTTAAATAAACAAACTGAAACTTTCTGGCATGCCATTCGCATGTGTACAGCACATAACTGTACTTTGCATGTAGTGTGTTATGTTAGCTTCCTGTTGCAGCTGTAACAAATTACCAAAAACTCAACTAGCTTAAAACATACTTTTTATCTTATAATTCAGTCCAGAAGTCCTAAAACCAAGATGTCACATTGTTTTTGGAGGATTTAAGAAAGAATCTGTTTTCTCTTCATTTTAGTTTCTTGGGGTCTGTTTGTTTCTTTTTTTAAGGCTAGCTAAGTAAAGCAATGAGAGTAGAGAGGGAATGAGCAATCTGTAACTGGCTGTGATCATTTAGTTGTGAACATGACCACACTTGGACAAACTTTTTCCAGCTTTTAAAGGCTGTCTTCATTCCTTGGCTCATGGCCCCAACTTCCGTCTTTCAGGCTAGTAGTGTGGCATCCTCCAATCTTTCTCCATCTCTGAGCTCTGCTTCTATCCACATGTCTCCTTTATTCTGACTTTCCTGTCTTTGTTTTCTAATAAGATGTTTTTATTGAGATGAAGCTCATATAACATAAATTTCATCAGTTTCATGTATACAATTGAGTGGTTTTTAGTATACTCACAATTTGTGCAGTTATTATCATTAATTCTAGAACTTCCTCCCTCTTAAAAGGACTTTTTTAAAACTTGTTTTTCTTCTTTCATTAAAAATAAATAAATAAATAAAGATATAGTTGACAAATAATTTTTTTTTTGGAGACTGGGTGTCAATCTGTCGTCCAGGCTGGAATGCAGTGTTGTGAGATCTTGACTCATTGCAACCTCTGCCTCCCAGGCTCAAGTGATCCTCCCACCTCAACTTCCCAAGTAGCTGGGACCACAGGTGCACACACAACCCCCTATGTGCGAAGTACTGTTATGTGCTGTGTGTATGCAAGTAGCGTACCAGAAAATTTTGGTTCGGTTATTCTACTTTGAGGCAGACTCTGGCTCTGTCACTCAGGCTGGAGTTCAGTGGCACAATCTCGGCTCACTGCAACTTCCGCCTCCTGGGTTCAGGTGATTCTTCTGCCCCAGCCTCCCGAGTAGCTGGGACTACAGGTGCATGCCCATGCCTAATTTTTGTATTTTTAGTAGAAACGGGGTTTCAC